GACAAAAGGTATTAGTTTCTATAATATGGGTCACAAATGGACAAAGGGTATTAGTTTCTATAATAGGGGTCACAAATAGACAAAAGGTATTAGTTTCTATAATAGGGGTCACAAATGGACAAAGGTATTAGTTTCTATAATAGGGGTCACAAATAGACAAAAGGTATTAGTTTCTATGATAGGGGTCACAAATGGACAAAGGTATTAGTTTCTATAATAGGGGTCACAAATTGACAAAGGTATTAGTTTCTATAATAGGGGTCACAAATGGACAAAGGTATTAGTTTCTAATATCTAGGTATTATAAACTTTTGTTTCATGAAATGCAACCTTTACATTCACTCCAGCACCTGTAAAGTAATAGAAATAAATATTAATGATTGTGAAAAAACAAGTGATGTTTGATTAAAAAAAAGAGCCAATTTACATGAAAGGGCAAACCTTGTAAAGATGTAATCTAAAAGTGAGTAAATTGAAGAATAAAAAATTGAGGAAAATCTGAATCCCTTTTTTATATTAATTTTGCTGTTTATTTTAGTTTAATTAAAAGAGGTGGGGGGGGGGGGCAAGTATTCCACAATTGTTTCTTACCTACTTTTATGTTATGTCTTTACTGGGTTTTCCACTTTATATAAGTTAGCTCATTTTTTGATATCTGTATATGGGTGACCCCTTTATTCTTGCATGATTGTTTTTGTACATGTAAAGTGTACACATAATCTAGATTCTCTGTCTACACAGGGAAACATTTTTCCTGTTTAATTTGTGCTATATCTTTATGGTAGTATCTACAAAATATGATAATGTAAAAGCTCAGCTGTGACTGAGTATATACCTTTAAGTTTAACTTTTAAAAAAAAAAAACATACTTTACATTAGTGAATTCTCCTTACTTGCTTTAATAAAAATAATGGAAGTACTTTTAGAAATAAACTATTTATCAGAGAACCTTATGAAGACAAGTATCATTAATCCTAACGATCATTCATTGTTTGGTACATATAGTCCACATGACATTGTAGCAAAAAAATTTCAACCCTAGGAAGGAGATGATAATTGTTTAAATGTGAACTGTTGAACATTTTCAGGAGCTCGATTTGATGATGGGGCAGGAGGTGATAATGAAGTCCAAAGAACCATGTTAGAATTAATTAACCAGCTGGACGGATTTGATCCACGAGGTAACATCAAAGTGTTGATGGCTACTAACAGACCTGATATTTTAGATCCTGCACTGATGAGGCCTGGCCGACTTGATCGTAAAGTAGAATTCTCTCTGCCAGACCTTCAGGTAAGATGAGAGAAGGATGTATCTGATGAAATTATAAACCATTAAAGTACTTATGTTCAGTCACCCAAGACTATGTATTATAGAGATTTAAAAGTTGCTATAACTTGTAATTATTATACAAATCATAAACAGATAAATACCTATTTGAAATTTGTTATCCTAAAATGTTTTCTATTTGGAACTTTTCTTAATGTATGACTTATTTTAGTTCTATTACAAATTAATCGATTAATCTATTTTTAAGCAAGTTATATTTTTTTTAAGTTGGTAGCAATTTTTTTTTAAAGATAGAAGTTTATAGCATTGTTAAATCTTTTTGGGAACCTAACAAACCTTGTCCCGTTTTTCTTTCTTTGTTCTCTAATTAAAGTAGAAGTTTAATTTTAAAACCTGTTTGAGAACCTAATAAACTTGGACCTGTATTCTCAGAAACCTATATAATCTTTACCTTGATCTGTTGTTAGGTAGAAGTTAGTTGATTGTTGAGAGTTCCAAAAATATTCCCCCTGTTTGTTTGTTTTTTTGTACATGTTCCATATTTAGTATTCTGAACCCTTCAATTATGATAAAATGAAATGTCTACACATAAAAGATGCATTTTTACAAACTTAAAATTTCAACAAATATAAAGACAAAAAAAAACATTAAATGCCTGGATTGTGATTCTTTTGGAATATCTAGACAGGGCTCTTCAAATGTGTTGATTTGGGCAAAAAAATGATAGAATTTTAAAAGAGCCTCAGCTGCTTTTTTTTTTTACAAAATATGCTATAAATTTTTTACCTTGATTCTTAATATCAACAGAGTGAACATTGAAGTTATTACACTGTATATTAACAGAGTGAACATTGAAGTTATTACACTGTATATTAACGAAGTGAACATTGAAGTTATTACACTGTATATTAACAGAGTGAACATTGAATTATTACACTGTATATTAACAGAGTGAACATTGAAGTTATTACACTGTATATTAATGGAGTGAATATTAAAATTATTACCACATATATCAACAGAGTGAACATTGAAGTTATTACACTGTATATTAACACAATGAATATTAAAATTATTACACTGTACAATATCCACACTATATTAAATTGTCTTTGAATGTATTAGAACACAGCCTAAAAATCCTAAAATGAAGGGCTTTTTGAGTTTTGTAAATTTTCATCTTGTTGTCAGTTCTGGAGTATATATATATAGTAATATAATATTGGGTGGTTATTGGAAAGACCCAAAAGCAGATTGGGCATGACCAAAAAATATATAAAACAAAACTAATTTTCACAATACAGCATACACTAGTGTTCTTTTACAAACTGCTCATACTTTAAATCCACATTTATTAAAACCGTGGTCTGTTTCCGTAGTACTTTTTTTTGGGTGAGTATGGCTTGGTAGTTAATGTGGCCAGACTGTACAGCTGAAGGTTCATAATTCATATCCTATTGCCATAAAAAATATGCTCTACACTTTGTGGCCAGAAGTGTACTATAAAAGTGATGGTCAAATTCCACTATTTGGTCATAAAAATACAGCTCAAGAGTTGAGAAGGCATGCTATAAAAGTGAAGGTTAAATCCCACTGCTTGGTCAGAAAAGAACAGCCCAAGAGTTGGCAGGGTGTGCTATATGAGTGAAGGTCAAATCCTACTACTTGGTCTGAAAAGAACAGCCCAAGGGTTTGGAGTGGTTGGTGTTCATTAGTTACCTCCCTTACAATCTGTTAGTTCAAAATTAGGGAAGGCTTTGTACTGACAGTCCTCGTGCAGCTTTGTGAAAACATTCTGAATGTAAGGTTTGGTATCACTGCTGTCATAACATAAATATGATACAAAAAAAGCTTAAAACTAAATGCTCTTGAACCAACTATAGCTATAGTGTAAACAAGAGCACTCTACGTAAAGTCATATTCTAATGTTACAAACACACATTTTTAGTGAAAAAGAAAAGTTCCATGAAACAGTTTCTGTCATCATAAGGTTTATGTCTGAACTTCAAACTTTATTTCAAAGAACCCAAAAGAGGGTTCATTAAATACTTTGGATGGAGTACTTGTTAAGATTAATTGTCAAGTGTGTGTCCATATTTTTAAAACTTTGATGAAAAGAAATTATGCTAATAATTATCATTATATTGCTGGTTTTGTCTTAGGGTCGAACCCACATCTTCAAGATTCATGCAAGGTCTATGAGTGTAGAGAGAGACATAAGATTTGAACTTTTGGCTAGATTGTGCCCTAATAGTACAGGTAAGAATACCTGTTTAGTTTATACAAACATTATTACGTGTTTACTGCAAACATGGTTAGTTTTATCCTAAAATATCTAGTGATATTGTAATACAAACTTGATTGTGTTTAATACTAAGTTTATAATTAGAGTATGTTATGATATTGCTGTTAAAACACAGTGCTTTAACTATGATAAAATTGTGATATAGTTTATGTAACTTGAAATATTATAATTTTTAGTTAATTATCTTTGTTTGTTTTATTGCTTAAAAGTAAAAACAACATTTCTTTGTACTAACATAAAAGTTGTAAAACAACACATCTTTGTACTAACATAAAAGTTGTAAAACAGCACATCTTTGTACTAACATAAAAGTTGTAAAACAGCACATCTTTGTTCTAACATAAAAGTTGTAAAACAGCACACCTTTGTACTAACATAAAAGTTGTAAAACACACATCTTTGTACTAACATAAAAGTTGTAAAACAACACATCGTTGTACTAACATAAAAGTTGTAAAACAACACATCTTTATACTAACATAAAAGTTGTAAAACAACACATCTTTGTACTGACATAAAAGTTGTAAAACAATGCATCTTTATACTAACATAAAAGTTGTAAAACAACACATCTTTGTACTAACATAAAAGTTGTAAAACAACACATCTTTGTACTAACATAAAAGTTATAAAACAACACATCTTTGTACTAACATAAAAGTTGTAAAACAGCACATCTTTGTACTAACATAAAAGTTGTAAAACAACACATCTTTGTACTAACATAAAAGTTGTAAAACAGCACATCTTTGTACTAACATAAAAGTTGTAAAACAGCACACTTTGTACTGACATAAAAGTTGTAAAACAACACATCTTTCTACTAACATAAAAGTTGTAAAACAACACATCTTTGTACTAACATAAAAGTTGTAAAACAACACTTCTTTGTACTAACGTAAAAGTTGTAAAACAAGACATCTTTGTACTAACATAAAAGTTGTAAAACAAGACATCTTTGTACTAACATAAAAGTTGTAAAACAACACATCTTTGTACTAACATAAAAGTTGTAAAACAACACATCTTTGTACTAACATAAAAGTTGTAAAACAACACATATTTGTACTAACATAAAAGTTGTAAAACAATGCATCTTTGTACTAACATAAAAGTTGTAAAACAACACTTCTTTGTACTAACATAAAAGTTGTAAAACAACACTTCTTTGTACTAACATAAAAGTTGTAAAACAAGACATCTTTGTACTAACATAAAAGTTGTAAATCAATGCATCTTTATACTAACATAAAAGTTGTAAAACAAGACATCATTGTACTAACATAAAAGTTGTAAAACAACGCATCATTGTACTAACATAAAAGTTGTAAAACAATGCATCATTGTACTAACATAAAAGTTGTAAAACAATGCATCATTGTACTAACATAAAAGTTGTAAAACAACACATCTTTGTACTAACATAAAAGTTGTAAAACAATGCATCATTGTACTAACATAAAAGTTGTAAAACAATGCATCATTGTACTAACATAAAAGCTATATCCATTTTGTTGATATGTAATTAAAATATTTTTCCAACTTACTGTCCTCTCCTTTATGTTAAATTCCTTTTTCAATAATTTTTATGTGATATTGTAATCTTAGCACGTTAGCTTTAATAAATTAATTAAGTGTATAATAAATAAATTAAGTATAAATAACATTAAATATTCAAAAGGTGCCAAGGAGCACTCACAGTGTCCCAAACTCGTGTGCCACAAAAGAAATCCGTTTTTAAAACATAATTGTCTGTGACCCACCAGTATGTCAAGCAGTCAATAACTAAAAGTTGGTTGTGAATCACTGGTAGAGCACATGGCAGCCAACGTTTTAAGACTATTGGAAACTTATTGCAGGACTTACGCTGAAAATATATATTTTAAGTTTCATTGTAGATACAGCAGACATTCTATTGACCGTTTTCTTTTTAAGGTAATTTACCAATCCACTAAGTTTGCCATTATATTATGAAATCTATTGTATTTATAACATCACAATTTTATAAATGTGTTATATTTTTGATAAATAGGTAATGCTTATGTGTCTGTTAACACAGACTATGTATTTATGAACACCGTATGGGTTAAGTATGTTTTGGTGAAAGAATATATTTTTCATCTGGCATTCATGCTTAATTGCTTGCAATTCTTCATATATTCATAATTTACAAGAAAGTTAGGTATTTTGTGTATAACATTCACTGTGGGTTTTGTTTTCAGGTGCAGAAATTCGAAGTGTCTGTACTGAAGCTGGAATGTTTGCCATCAGAGCCAGAAGAAAAGTTGCAACAGAAAAAGACTTTCTGGAAGCGATCAATAAAGTGATCAAATCCTATGCTAAGTTCAGTGCTACTCCTCGCTACATGACATACAATTAAAGTTCCAGCTAAAGTTCTTTACAACTGCTTTTCTAACATTTTGTTTTGTAGTAATTTGCTGAACTCTGTAATCTTTGTCTTTTATTTAATTATTGAATTAAACACTCCAGAAAACATGCTTGAGTGTAGTTAATAACTGAGAGAAACTGGCCATTTATTTGTTGAGGCAACATCATCTCAATCAGTCCAACTATTGATGTTTGGTTAGGTCTCTGTTTTATTTTTATTTAATAACTGAGAAATACTGGCCATTTATTCGTTGAGGCAACATCATCTCAATCAGTCCACTATTGATGTTTGGTTAGGTCTCTATTTTTGTTTTATTTAATAACTGAGAGATACTGTCCATTTATTCGTTAAGGCAACATCATCTCAATCAGTTCCACTATTGATGTTTGATTAGGGTTTTATTTCATATCTATGTATAAAACTGTAAACTGTGTTAATTAAGCTTCATGATAGCCTGGCCTTTAAGTATAAAAACGAACTGTATACACAAAACCAAGCTGTAAACAACTAACTTACATGACCCCAAACTACTCTTAGCACAGGGGTGGCACAATTATCTGATTTGCTGAAAGAAAAGACAACTGTCTATTTTGGGACATCATGAATAAAGTTACATCTGTCTTTCCAGAAAGAAAACGCATTTAATGACCAATAGAAATGATTCTGACTCCGTTCACAGCTAGAGTATGGAGAAATTAAGTTGTTTAATTGGTCACCTTTCGAAGTTAACCAAAATAAAAAAAATTGATTTCAAAACAATTTTGCATATTAACTAAGAGGGTAACAAACATGTGGTACTATCATGTCCCACAGTCACGTAAGGGTGTTTTTCATGTTGCATATACCTGTTATATGAAAATTCCAGTTTCTGGGTATGTATTTATGATATAAAAATGGTCCATTTCACTTAAACTGTCAGTATCAGTACTGAATATACTGGCTTTACTTTGAATGGTAAGTAAATAAATTGGATATTTTATAACTTAATATTTAATAAATAATATGATATATATATATATATATATATATATATATATATAGTAGTATACGTAGTATTATTTTATTTCTTTCTTACTTAGTTAGTTAGTTAGTATAGTAGTAAGTTAAATTTTAAATTTTAAGTTTTTACGGTTTATTTATTTATTGGTGGAGGACGA